CAAGCGATTCCGGAATGTGTAACTTTCCGGAATAGGATGACTGCTCCCTCTTTTTTGATTTTTTCTCTTGTTTTTTTTCTAGCCCATCAGAATAGTATTCTAGATCTGTCCGATCGAAACGAAAATTGTACTTGAGAATATGGATGTGGATACTGACTGAATCATCCACACCCGTTTTTTTGCAATTAAACTATAACTCCGAATTGGTGATGCTCATCTCTGTATTGCAATATACTATAGGACGAAAAGGTAATATATTATATAAGAGAAAAGGAAAGAAAATATGAGTATATCAAAAATTTCAATGACAATTATAAGCAGTGTTATTCATATTTGTTTTTGCTTCAACGAACATAATTATTAAAGTATGTTAAAGGTAAAAAATATTAATTGAAATAGTTAATGAAAGACTTTTACTTTTATTCTGTCAATAGACATCGATTTTATTCTAGAAAAAGTACTAAAAAACTAGTCATTTCGAACTATGCAGTTTAGTCAATCTTAGTTAAAATGTATCACTACGTAATGCAAAAAGATAAATCATTGTTTTATCTAATGCAGCTTTTTATTTTATAAATAAAATAAAGGAAACAGACATCTTTAAAATTCCATTTTCATCAAAAAAAAGATTAATATAAGATATTTTTTGAAATGATGCTGTATTGATGAATTTATCATGTATAAAAGTATTTCAAGATATTGTTTTCAATCTATTTAGGTTAACGGGGATGTAAACTTCTCATAAACGATCGACCAAATACACCGACATCTTGGTTCATTGCATGATTTATACCTGAATAGTGAGGTCTACTGTTAGGCATATATGTTGCATAAGCTGTTCCAGTGCTAGGCATATGTGATGCATAAGCTGTTCCATGAGTTGCTTGAGGGTGGTGAGCATAACCACGAGCAGAATGAAGTTGATGTCCAGTATTATTGTTTAAATATTGTTCCATTTGTGCAGCTACATCATTATAATAAAGACCAGTGCCAGCACTCATTCCAGTAGGAGCACTCATTATTCAATCGTTGTTGATAAATACGAAGAATAAATAAAATATACGTAGTATTGAATATTTTACTTATGTTTTGCCTCAATAAAATCTCGTCAATATAAAGACGTCGAATTGCGACATCATTATCAATCAAGCATAACGGTGAAAAAAAAAATAATTACTTTTTTACATATTCGCCACGTGTTATTTCACAATCGAGGAAGTGATCAATATGACTGATAACATTTCATCATGTAATTTACCATTTTTCTAATTATTCCTAAGAAAACAACAGTATAAAAATAATTTCAGATACAATAATAATAATGATATTTTCACAATATTTATTATTAAATACTCAAAAATAAAATAATCATGTTGAATGCTATATATATATATATTTAAGTAATTCTTTCCTTGGTAAGTGATTCATATTTACTATCCTTGTTAATTGGTAGGTTATCTTTTATCCTAAAATTGTTTCCACAAATCTATCCCAAAACGAATTCTTCGAATGGCGATTTTCATATGGAGATTCACTCTGATAACTAATTTGGAACAAATTACAGACATTCCAGTAATAACCTTCTATAATGACAGGATTTTGAATACTGATCACTACAATATTGGATAAGCTCATTATTAAATGCCACATAGCACTGTATAGTCTTTTTCTTACATAAAATTTGAAGATTCTTGAATCAGTATTTGACATCAAAAGAGTTTGTCTTCTTCTGACCAAATACGACCTCTTGTGAGTTTATCTAACTCAGGTATGACCAGCATTCAAAACTCTGTCAACATAGAAGGTTATTATTGGTTTTCGCAAAAAAATTATTTTTTCGAAAATCCCTGTGATACCCCTCAGGACCCTGAAGGACCAAAAAATCTTTTTCTTTTTAAAATTAAGTTATCATTGTCGTTCTGTTCCAAAAACTAGTACATTTTATTCAGTTTTTCATGCTCTATCTTTTAGTATATCACTTGAAAGAGTTCTGCAAATTGTAAAAACATTTTTGACTAAATTTTAAGTTATAGATTAGTAGCGGTCAAAAGTCGATCGAGGCTAACTTTTTTATGGTACATCCAAATGAGCTAATAATTTTGGTTTGTTATTTTTAAAACATGGTCTTTCAAATGCACGTGAAAGATCAAAAAAGTATTCTTTGTCTCGTGTCTCATATATTGGAACGTTGCTCGATATTCTCATGGAATCTCTCTTAAAAGAGTTTAATAATTGACTGAGAATACAACTAATTGTCTTAGTTCATGTCCTAGAATATTATTCTAAAAATATAAAGATAATTTAACTATAAGAAGGCTATTTTCGATGGTTAGTTTTAATACATTCATTGTGTGAAATTATGAAAACAAACGAGAAGAAAAGAGAATATTTTCAATAATAAAATCAATCACGCTTGTACGAATCGATCGTGACTTTAATGTATTAACTTTAGTAATAATTCTACTAGACAAATTTTAAAGACACTTACATCTGATAAGAAATACCAAACTTGTAACAATATATCATAATCTAAAGAAAAAGCAAAAGATTTATATACAGTTTGAAATGAGTGTGGGTGGATGGGTACGGGTAACTGATAATCTTCACATTCACACGCACACCCTTTGATCGGACAAAATTAGAGTATTATTTTGATAAACTCTTAAAATACGAAAAAAGTGATACAAGAAAATACCAACGAATCCAAAAATGATAGTAAAGCTGATGAAGAAGGCATATGTGAGGATGCGAAGGGTATTCTTGATGACTGGAAAAAGACTTCTCATTAACAGTGAATTTCTGAGCAAAACTAAGGATTACCACAATTACTCGCTCTAATGACATCTATAACCTCACTCGTATTTTTCTTATTGATCTTTCTCTAGCGCATCAAAATAGTATTCTAGATTTGTCCGATCGAAACAAAAATTACACTTGAGAGTATGGATGCGGATACTGATTGAATCATCCACACCCATTTTTATAAAATCCATTCCAACTCCGAGTTGGAGTTTCTCATCTCTGTATTGGAATATACTGTAGTGCGAAAAGGTAATATATCATAGAAGAGAAAAGGGAACAAAGTATGAGTACATGGAAAATTCCAACCACAATGTCACTATATCACAAATATAAGCAGTGTTACTCATATTTGTTTTTACTTCGTCAAACATAATTATTAAAGTATGTTAAAGCTAAAAAACATTAATTGAAATAATTAATAAAAGACATCAATGTTATTCTAGACAAAGTTCTAAAAAACTAGTCACCTCGAACTATGCAATTTAGTCAATATCTTAATAAAAATGCATAATTATGTAATGCAAAAAGATAAATCACTGTTTTATATAACATAAATTTTTATTCTATAAATAAAATAAACGAAACAAATATCTATAAAATTTCATTTTCATCAAAAAAAGATAAATATAAGACATTTTTTGAAATGATGTTGTATTGTTGAATTTATCATGTATAAAGGTATTCCAGGATATTATTTTCAGTTTGTTTAGTGTTTATGAAATAAATTATCCCAAAACAATTCAAAAAATCCGCGCGTATCTTGTCTATTCACATGATCATTGTTAGGCATATGTGATGCATAAGCTACTGCATGAGTTGGTTGATGTTGACGAGCATAACCATAAGCATTATGAAGTTGGTGCCCATTATTATTGCCGAGCTCTTGTTCCATTCGTGCAGCTACATCATAAAAATGAATGGCAGTGGAACGGCCCATTCCAGTGGGAGCACTCATTATTCAATCGTAGATGATAAATATCAAGGATAACTGGAGTATGCGTAGTATTGAATATTTTACTTGTGTTTTGTCTCAATAAAATATCGTCAATATAAAGACGTCGAATTGCCACGTCATTATCAATCAAGCATAACGTTGGAAAAAAATAATTACCGTTTTACATATTTCTTACGTGTTATTTCACAATCGGGGAAGTTTTCAATATGACTCATCATTTCATCATATGATTTACAATTTTTCTAATTATTCGTAAGAGAAAAATAGTATAGAAACTATTTCAAATAAAATAATCATGTTATATGATATATATATTTTTAAGTGATACTTTTGTTGGTAAGTGATTCATATTTACTATCCTTGTAAATTTACCTTCCAATGGTTTTTTGTTTAGGCCCAATTAAATTCTTATTCATTGGAACGTCACGAAGTCGGCTCTTCACGTTTACATGAAGTTCTTCTGGATGATTTCGTACAAAAATAAAATCAATATAAATAGTTTATTCCAAAACGATTATTAGCAAGACCATAAATAATCGTATTAGTACCAGTATTTGATACAATTAAAAAATGAGATCTTATATAGAAAAGAAGTAGAAGTACTGGTGCATTAGTATAGAAATTATGATATGATGTGCTTTGATAACAAAGTAAGTTTAAATATAATTGAAATATATTCAAGGTGGTAACCAAAGTACAGTATGTAAAACAACAACACCTACTAACATTTGTAAGCTCTAAAAATAGAATTTTTGAAGAGATAATTAATTCATTGTAAAGTTATTGAGTCTTTTATGCGAAATTACTCATTACCAATGAGGACGCGTATATTAAACTAGTAGTTTATGCTACGTTACCGTTTAAATGAACGTTTATCTAATCAGAGATTTTATATTGTTAACAATTAATTTAAAACAAAGCTCCTAAAATTATAGATTTTACTTATAGTTCTTATTATAAATAAATATTCATAGGTATTTCAAGAAATTTTTTAGGAGTATATTAGTAGTTTAACAGTTGACTAAAAATACAATTAATTATCGCAGTTCGTGTCCTGAAATACTATGCTACAAAATATAAAGATGATTTAACTATAAGAAGTCTATTTACGATAGTTATTTTTAATACATTCATTGTGTGAAATTATAAAAACAAACGATAAGAAGAGAGAATATTTCAATGATAAAATAGATCAGGCCTGTATGAATCGATCGTAACTTTAGGTATATTAATTCGGATTGTATTTATGTATTAACTTTAGTAATAATCCTACTAGAGAAATTTTATAGACGCTTACATCTAATAAGAAGTACTGAACTTATGACAATATATCAAAATCTAAAGAAAAAGTAAAAGATTTTTATACAATTTGAACTGAATGTGGGTAGGTGGAAATAACTGATAAAACTTCACATACTCACCCTTATCAATACCCTAGCACTCTTTGCAGATACATGTGCACGCATATCCTTTATAAAATATTTTATTTTCCGTTTTAAATAATTACATATGAATGACAATTCTTTCGTGTATATTCAAGATTTTGCCTCCATTCTTTCAGAGTTTTGTCGTTCGATGGCAGTGAACGTTGTCCAATATTCACCGCACGTGCAAAAAACTCAGATGCTTGCATGTAGTCTCGCATGTTTCTATAAACTGTGCCGATGTTGTGATAAGATATTCCCAAATCCAGATGATCAGGAGGAAGTGATTTCTCTTGAATTTTCAGAGCATTTTCGTAATATAAGAGTGCTTCGAGATAATTTCCTCTTCTATTATATATATTGCCAATGTTATTATAAGACATACCTAAATCTGGATGATTCGATGGTAACAATTGTTGTTGAATTTCAAACGCTGTTTTATAGTGTAAAAGCGCTTTAGAATACTCTCTCATGTTGTAATATACCGTGCCAGTCTTGACACACGACTCAACTGAGCTAGAATGAGTTAGAGGAAGAGATAATTGTCGATTTAGATGGTTTTTGGCATGATTTGCTTTTTCCAATATACACCCATATTGGTTTTTCTTCATAGATGCAATTTTCTCATGAAGACGTGCTTTTTCATTCTTATCCGTTGTTCGATTAAGCAAGATTTCGTAAACTTCGTGCACCTTTTCGGATTGACCTAGTTTGACTAATAATAGAGCCAGTCGATCCCATCCACTTAATCTTTTTGTTTCCTCTGTAATGCAGTCAGTAAGTGATCGAAGATCTTTGTCGTCCTCACTTGTCAGTGTCAATTCCACTTGAAAAAGACGATCATGTCCATCCATTTGTTTGATATCATCGATGCGAAAAACTGTATGCATAGAAAAAAGTACTTCATCTTCTTTCTTTTTAAAATAACTGATGTCTGTGATGGATGCAAATGGTGTTGTCGATACAGAATGATCGATTGTCATAATGAAAAAGATTCCTACAATCTCTGGATTAGCAAGATTCTTACGTGCGAAATCGAGAGAGGTGTATTGATCTTTGCTGGTAGATAAAAAATTATTGAAAGATATAAGTCCACCTTTTTTTCTTTTGAGTTGTTCAAAATCTACTTTCGATAAACTTTGTCCTCGGTAGACAACAAAGATTTTCTTGGTGCTCTGTTCGTAAAATTGCTGAGAATATAGTTCATCGATCTGATGATGAAGATCATTGATAAAAAAACCCATGTTAATGATGAGATCTAAATCCATAGCTCGTAGACCACGGTTCAATATTTTATATACAAAACATTCACGAGTATACCACCAGATTGGAGTTTGCTGAAGATATCCTTGTTCGAATTCATCGATATTGCTCAATTCATAGTTGTTATCAGCGAATATTTTACGACAATAAGCAATAAAGCACTGAAAGTGCTGTTTTTCGAATCGAATAGACAATAATATTTCCTTGAGAATTTGTGTATACATAAATGAATAGTCGAGTTGCTGGAGCTCCTTACTGGATATATCATTAACAGCAGCCATAAATTTAATAGATATGGCATTTTCTTCGTATAGTTTTGTAGTTTCTTTGATCACTTTACATAGTTCTGCGACATTCGTGCAAACACCCTGAACTTTATACCATTTTTCAGCCCATTTTTTATGATGCTCTTTATCACGGCAGAAAACAAAAACTGAGTTTATTTGAGACATATCATGAATCTGTGGTACGACAGTTCGCCCAAGTGAACCTGAGACGATCATATTAATCTTATTATTGCTACTGGCTTTGATAAATTCAATACATTCGCAATCTTCAGTAAATGTGCCTATAGTATTGACAGTGTCTTGTAGTTGACTGATGGTACTGCGATAATTTAAGTTATCGTTATCGATGGTGCTATCCAACCAGACTAAGAGATCATTTGGAGCCGTTTTCCTTTTAGTCAGTTGATCTATAAATTTACCTGTTAAGAGAACAGCTGATTTTTTTTCTTTCGTCGAAGCACTAATTTGTCCAAATGGTTTAGATACTTCATTGCCCATTATTTATTTTTTCAACAGTACTGACTGCAAAAAGTTAAGAATAAATACTAGTAAAGATACAAAAGGAATGATTCTGCTTGCTGATGTAATCTTATCTTTTTCTATTGCAGGCATGACTTTGTTCTTTCTGTTAGTTGCGTGTGCAAGTTGGAAAGTCAGATATTCCAACACAAACATATATCATGAAAAAACATAAAAATACTTATTTTTATCAGTGAAACAAAAGTTTGTTAAAGTCATATTCAAAAAGATAAGTATATGAGATAGGTAAAGATTCTTTACCTCTTGAGGGTGTGTGTGGGTGTGGGTGAATGTAGGCGAGGGATAAATACAATATTCATATTCACACCCTGAAGATGCTATACATTATGGATTTCGATATTTTTGTTTTTGTTCACAACAAATTGGATGATGTAAATCGTCCTTTTTAAGTGGTAATGTATAATATTAATTCCTATCAAGACATAACGAATTGATAGATTTATCTAAATCAATTGATAATTATTATGAATTATTGAAAGGATTGTATTTCTTTATAGAAAGTAATCATTACCGACATCAAACTGTAGGAGAAAAATCATTCGACTGAATACTTACTTTGTCGTTCTACCATCAATGGACGTTATCTGTTAAAGTGGATTCAATCCAAAGATATCAATGATTAGTTACGTATATTTTTTCACTGTTTTCATAAATTACAAATTCGCAAACTTTATCAAAGGCAATTGAGAGATTTTTAATATACAACTCTATCATTGCAATGACTATTAATGATATTTTTATGAAGTAGATAGAGACTTTGAATATGATATTTAACTAAATAACTTTCGATAAAAAAAATTACTGACAGTCATAATGTTTCAGCTGAGATGATAACTGATTTAAATCGGTTTATATTACACATTCTCAAAGGTAGCTTGTCTTATGTAATACAATACAGTTATGTTGTAATGTTTGTAGAAGGATCGTCATTGATTCTATCCATTACGCTAGACATTGCTGGAGAAACCATATTCGATCGTCTTAGTATTTTCGAGCTTACATCACGTGTTGGTACTGTTAAATTGGTATCAATACTGTTAGACTGGATAGATGTTGTCATTTCCAGTTCATTCTTATCTTTCTATTAAAAAAAAGTAGATTTTATATCTCTCAATGGAAATGTGCAAACTTATATACTTTCTCTTTGAAATAATTTTCGTAATTGACTCCACATCGTAACCATTCACGCCATGATTTTGGTAAGCAACAACAGAACATATCACTCACTGGTATAATCAATTTCGGATCGATCTCATGTGGTTTAAGTGGATGAGTAATATAGGAAACAATCATACCCACAAGTATGACAGTTCCAACAGCTATTGGTGTATACCACAAATAGCTCACCGAATACAATCCAATGAGAGGATCAAGTCTAGATAAAAAAAAATACATTTTTCATTCAGAAAACGAATTCTCAATGAAACTGCCTTCTAACTAATCTTACTTCATAGAAGTGGAAGTTGTGAGCGTAGTTGTCCAATTTAATGTAAATTCAACCATTGTATCGTTAGTATTCGAAGTACAATTGGCTATCAATAATGGTAGACTTACATTTGCCATTTGATTTTTTGTAATCTGAGCACCCAAAAAGATCCATAGTAATAAGACGAGACTGGCAAAAAATCCGATAAGTCCACCACGTCGATTAGCTTGTGGAAAGAACAAACCAAGAATAAATATACCCATGATAGGACCTTCCAGAACACCAAATAGAGATATAGTTGCATTAACAATTGGCCCAAGATAACTGACCACAAAGGTAAGTAAGATAACAAAAGAGCCAAGTATGACTGAAAATATTTTTGACATAAGACCTTGTTTCTGATCAGTCAATTTTCGACCCATCAATCCTTTGTAAACATCTTCGATCAATACTGCTGCCAGACTATTCAATCCCGATGAAATTGTTGACAAAGAACCAGAAAATATACAAGTAAGAAATACACCTGGCAAACCTTTCTTATCACCCAGAACTTCCATGACAAAATATGGAAAAATTTGATCGATACTTTCTATTTTCTTCGCTGTGTAAGGATCACAATCAACATAATATGCATAGATTATTACTCCGATTAGACTAGAACAGAGAATAACTAATGCCGTACCAATTGCATTGATAAGTAATGCCTGTTTAGCACCTCGTGTAGAACGTATACATAAATAGCGTTGTACTAAAGTTTGATTAAATCCATATGTACCTAAATAATTTAATGAACCCCCTATAAGCATTGCCCAAACTGTGTGACGAGTACGAGGATCAAAGCTAATACTAGGATCAGAGAAAGATACCATTATATCAAGTTTGTACAACATCTAACTAACATACTTATTGAATTCAATTCTGCGACCGTTGGATGCAATTGAGAATGCTCGTTTAAAACCACCGACAGTAATTAAACCTTGAATAATGGCGGCAAGAAGTCCAATTATAATCACTACTGATTGTAGAACATCAGTCCAAATGACAGCTTTTATACCACCCTAAATGACAGAATATAAATAATATTTTATTCATTTAAAAGTACCACAGAGGAATAGAATGTGCAAACAACACCGATCGAAACTACACACAGCCAAATGTTCAAACCAGTTGCTAAATCAAATCTAGTTTTTATTCAATATTCTTGTATAACGAAGAAATTTTTACTTTGACTTAATGCCAATGCAGGTGCATACAATACAATAGCCATATAGATTAGCTATGCGTAATAGAAATAATTCAATTACATATAAATATATACATAGTCTTACCATCATGAACGAGAAGGTAAATGAGACAGACATGCGTACTGATCGATCAAAACGCTGTTCTAAATACTACGATACATTCTGGGTTAGTTTTCAAATTATATCCGCAAATAAAAATACTTCGTAGGTACTTGTAAAATTCATTTCACGAAATTTAGGCATAAATACGAGTGCGGTCACAAACGAAGCAATGATTGCCGTGATAGCTAAGGATATATCAATGCAACTGTGATAAATTAAAGTTAATATATTTTTTTTTACCTTTATAGCAATACATAGTACCGAACAAATAGACTTCACTCGGTCCACCCAGCAATGTAACAGCTGAAATAAATGATACTGTTATGCTGAGTGCTGTTGGCAATACCTATACAGAATCGTAGAAAGAGTAGTTTTTCGATCGTCTGTTCCTACTTACTTGCATGCTTCCATTAGCTGTAAATGAATGGAAGATAATTATAGACAATATATCAAGAGAATTGTTGAATCATACCTGAGAGAAACTCTGCAGCTGAACTCTTCTTTGATTTGTAAAATCCGAATATAACACCAATAACAGCTGATGAGAGAAGAAGTATCACAAGAATAACATAATCGACAGCACTTAATGTAAAGGATGCCATGTATTGCACAACGTTATCAGTATAATCTTGTATATATGTATCACGGATAATTTAATAAAATGTTTCGTTGCTCGTCACTGTCAATGCTGCACGAATGAAAGTAAGAAAAGCAGTAACTGAAGAATATATATGACTTTAGCATGCATCTTTATCATGTTCTCGTTTGTTTGACAAAAAGAGAAAAGAAAAACGACAGGCACATTTGTTGATAACATTGACGCAAATGTCAACACAGTGATAATACTTTACTTTCTCCATAAATTTTAATGCTTGATAAATATTTGTATTTGAAAATAACACAAACATATTTCATTTATATTGAATGTACCAATGATTATTGTTCAAGTGTGAGAATGATATTGCATATTTCTGAAAAAATAATTTCAGACTATTGTATCTTATGGTTAGTAGAATCAACTACTGCTTGCAACAATTTATTTTTTCTTTTCTATGTATTCCTTTTTATTATTTTATCAGAATGAAATTATTCTTACATAATGATACTATATTAACTTGAGATATATAGTCAGTATTTAGGATATTCTGCAAAGTTCATTTACATAACATCAGAGACAGCTCATCAAACCCTATTTATAGTATAAAAGTGGAGTTTATAACTAGAAGACTTACCCTTCGTTCTTAGCAGGGAAAATAAAAAGACGAAAGTAGTGATAATACATCTTTTTTTATAGGGTTTTAGTTCTCCTTCAAAGACAACATTACTCAGTATAAATATTGATGTTATTTTATGTGTGCATTGCTTTTTCAAGTAAAGAAAGAACGAAAAAAAAGCCTCAGCACGTGTTAATATACTTTTAGTTTGATTCGATTTTCTTTCACATACATACAGAACACGATGTGAATGGGTATCGTACTTCATTCATACCCACATCCTGCGGTATTAGTTTCATTCGATTTTCAAGAATTATTTTAAATAAATTCAGACATACATGAAAAATGAATTTCACATAATACAATATTGTCATTTTACAAAGTTACTCAAGCTTCTTTATTAAGTGTATATACATTAGAGTCTTTCAATGCTTCGCCATTGCCAATATTAGTCTGATGCACATTTTCTTGGCAAATATCCATTTGAGTTAAAGATAAATTGTTCATATTATTGTTTTGGTTATTTATTTGTTTAGTACGCGAATGAAGAATCTAGAAGATGACATAGGTAATTATTATGAAATGTATATCGTACCTTAAATGAATATGTCAGATTTTGATCGATCGACATAATTGCTCCTGCATTATCGTATTCACCAGTATAATCTGGTGCTGAAAAGATAGTAACCAATTGATGATTAGCAAAAAATTCGTAACCATCTTCGACAACCTTTCAAAAACGAATAAGATAGCTAAAGGATTTATAAGAATTCTCACTTGATGTGATCGACAGATTAAATTCATATTGAATCTATTTAAAAACTAGAATCATTGTATTTATCAATAAAAATTGGAACAAAGATCTATCAAAAAACTTACTTCTGTCACTACATTAGCACCAAATTCAGATGAAACACCATAATTTTCTTGCCAGTTTTCCACGTTATTACTCGGATCAGACCATAGTAGATCACAAAGAAGACCTAAGCGATGTAATTAAAAGAAAGTCGATAATAGTTTATATATTTCTTTTATGAATACATAGATTCAATGGGTTCTAAGATTCGAAAACAGAATAAAATGAAATACAATGAGTTATCTCTTTGCTCAAAATCGAAAGCTTTCAATATTTTTTCTAGAATGTTATAAATGTTCCTCACCACAATCGGGTACATCAGTTGGTCGCTGGATCTGTCGAATTTGGTCCAAACTATGAAGCTCAGGTGATAGACCTTCAAACAAGAAAAACAATCAAATACCAATTGTGAAAAAATCAAGTTTTACCTCCGTGACAACAAAAGATTTTCTCATTGATAATAGCAGCTGCCGGAAGACAATTGAAACACTTGAATAGATAATACACAGAAACTTTTCAAAAAAAAAAAAAAAATTATTATTCTTACATTGGTGAATAATTTCCATAGTTTGATATTGTATCGACGTTTGCCTACAAATAGTAATGAGGAACAAGTGCATGATCAATGAAATTTTTATCTCAGCATCATTCGTTTTCATACGATTATACATACATTCGTCATAGAAACCATAGATACGATTAATTGACGCGCATTCATGACTTCCTCGTAGTAAGAAAATGTTATCCGGATATTTTATCTAGTGAATGTAATATAAATATATACGATTGAAAGTGTATAGAAAATCGGCAAACTTTGTAGGCAAGAAGAAGACATATTGTTTCTAAAGATTGTTTACCACGATTGACATAACCCCCGAGGAACAGATAGTTTGATTCGGGTGGAACGCCGCCATGTTCGAAATGACGAAGTAGATCTGTATATTGACCACAAATATTACCTATCAAAGCAAATTCATTGAAAATAATTCAGCTATTCTCGAAAGTTTTGATAGATATTTTTATAATAAGGGATAACCTCTGCCTATTATTTCGGTAGCAATTTCTTGCTGAAACTAATATTCTCTATTTTTATATCAATGTGTACAGAAAATAAATGTAAAAAAGTATTAAAATGCAATTATGATAAATAACATTACCGCAAATATTGATAGGCGCTTTAAGTTCAAGAAGCATTGGTTGACTGAGGAAGATTTCTTTCGATTTTTCACATAAGAGTTTGATTTCCTCTTCGGACAACACTTTAACATCACGCACTTCAATAAACAGAGAAATTCAGATACAAATTTTGTTTCAAAACAAATGAAAATGAACAGACTTTGAAGAAGTCGCTCAATTATACTGTCAATCTTTAACTGTGAGTCATCAATATTAAGTGCCATAGTATATTGTACGTATTTGTATGAGACGAGTAATTTCTTTGAATATTACAATGTTCAGTATTCGTTCAACTATCAAATAAAATATATAATAACAGCGATACGTGACATTTCAAAAGAAAAACTGAAATATTTTATGAGTGACTCATTCATGACCATTAGCAGAATACTGTTAACCTCTATAAGATGTGTGAAATTGTCAAACCTGAAGAAACAACTATGAATAGATATATGCTTAACTAGTTTATCGTAGGATATAGAACTGATGATCTAGAATAAATAGTCCTATTATTATTTTTGAAATTTAATTGCGTTACTCCATTGGCTGAAACAATTCTTCTATCAAAAGATGGCGCGTGGATGTGAATGTGAATAAAAGACATTTGTAGCACCCACAAGGAAATTCACCCAATCCTTATTGATTATGAAGATTGAAACAAATACTTATTGTGCGTATTTGTTTGTTTTCATTCAATATCTTTTTAATAGTTCCTACGTAATTTACATATATTTTATTTCGTAACGATAATAGCGATGGAGACATGTTTGACAAAGTTCAAAAATCCTGAGTAATTCCAGAGATAGTAGCCATATAAAAGAAGGAGAAATCTTTTCGAAAGTAATGATTCAACAAACAAATTCTGAATTATACCATTTATTTAATTAAAAACATTTAAATAATCTGCAGATACAATCAAATTAAAAGTACATTGTTCTCCATATGCTCACAGATTCGAATCAATATCCGTAATATGATGATGATGATGATGATGATGATGATGTAACTCTTCAAGAGTGCTGTATATTTAAACTCTTGTCATACAATCTATAATCTTTCGCAAGATGATACTGCTAAAATGGCAATAGATAATCATTAAACATTTTGTTTCAATTTTCATACAAAACTGTACAACAAAGCTATGTTAAAACGTACTTTAATAACTTTTGAATTGCGCCTAAAAACAAAGAACAATAAATAATACTCATCTATTGGATACATAGGATGTGGGAACATTTAACAAGCATAGTTGTTGATTTCTTGTGCAATGTTATTTTTTCAAAGTTTAATTTGGTAATTCATGATTTTATTCCTGTGTACATAACAGAAATCATTCATATCATATTATAACAATCAGCATCTTTCTATAGTTACTACCCAGACAGACAAAACTCAAAAAGAAACGGAGAAATAAGGCGTAGAAATTTTGAAATTTAACGAAAAAAAAAATTGGGAAAAGCGCACATTTCTACGATTTTTATCTCCGTTAGCTTGTGTACTGTGATTAACGCGTCGATAATCTGTGCTGAAAGCGTTAAAACTAACAAAATAACGCGTAAAACCACGTTGAATTCCGCGTTTCAACGAGTAAATACGGAGTAGATTTTAACGCAGTAGAACGCTTTCCAAAAAATTGCGTAGAAACGCGTTAAGAATTCGTAAAAACGGCGTTTTTACGTTTCTGATACGTAAAAACGGTGTATTTACGAATTTTAAACGCGTTTCTACGCGTTTTTTTAGAGGTCTTGTCTGTCTGGGTAATACTGATATATAGTTTTCAAAGAAGAAAAAAGTGCGTCAGTATCGGTGAATGTAAAATCATTCCATTTTCTACACTTTTTCATTCCTAAAAACCTGTATTTTATCTAATATATAGTATAGCGATATTGTTAATTTGTTTTTATTTGACCTACATTGAAACGTTACAAAAATGTTATTTTTTTTAAACTTAAGTAGTACTAGTGCATCAAATAGTTTATAGTCACATAATGTTTCTTCTCTACAGAAGTAATTACATTAAACGATAGCCACCCGTTCTAATCCTTTTTTATTGAAATATAAGGCATATCGATTTGTCATTTATCAGTGTATGATACTACAATCTAGTTGCATTGTAGAGAGAAACACAAAACTTCTCTCATTTCAATCGAGAAAAAAATAATTATTCATAGTTAAAACATGCGTTTCTAAAAATACACTTAAATAAATGCTGTATGAAGGTGAAACAATGTTATTTTGCTATAAATGGCAACATAAACATTACTACACTTATATTTATTTATAAATCCCATCCTTGAAAAGCGAGCCAGATATCGTAAAAGTGTGTGCATATTCTCTCTTGCGTTCTACTATATCACTTATACAAGTTAATTCATATTGTATTGAAACGAACAACAACGCGTCCAGAAACGGTTAACTGTGTTTGTTAGATTTTATTAGAAGCTTTCTTTTTCTCAGTTTTAATTATCGTCAACACCAACCGTCATGGTAAAAACAATATTCAATCTAATCTCTCTATTACTTTTTCGCCTACTCAATAAGTCAGAAATCAAATAAAGCTTCACATTCAATCCTCATTTAATTGAAAAAACAATCGTATTCTATGATTTAAAATCATTGCTCTAATTTTTTTCTTTCCATTCACATGATATACCACACAGATATTATGACGTTATTTTACTTACTTGCATCCTATTTTCTCCTGATCTCTGTAATTCCAACGTCTTCTGCGTGGTCAAATGCTGAGATGAATGTAACAGCTGAATACGCGAACGGTA